AGACCAGAAAGGCGAGGCTCATGGAGCCATTTATCTCTCCGCTCTTCAATCAATCCCACATGTGTTCATCGGCCAGGTTAGCACAATTAACCTTAACTATAACACTGACTTTTTAAAATACTGACGGTGGTCTTTTCTTATTCATTGTTTGCATTTTTTCTTTATATTACTATTGTTTTATCCTTACCACTTTATTTTGTTTTTGCTCTTTATTGTTTCTGTGGGTTTACTAGTTTGTGAAGTACAGAGGAGTAGATGGATAGAGAATAATAACTGATGCAAGGTTTTGTAGGGGATCTAGGGCTAGGGGGGTTGAGGATATGGGGAGGGTGAGGGAATATGGGGAGTAAACAATGAAAGCGGGAGGAGGAGGGAGCACTAGAACTGAATGTGATTACACAACTCATTTTAAAGCCAATTTAATCATGGGGGGGTGGGAATAAAAAAAAGAAAATGTTCTTAAATGGATTGTGGTAATGATTGTACAATTCTTGATAAGACTGAATGATCAAATTGTATGATATTGGATTATGTGCCAATAAAACTGTAAAAAGAGAGAGAGGTGGGTTAAAGACAGAAGATGACAATTGGTTAATCTAAAAGTGAATGAATGAACACTGTCTTCTTCCTTTAAGGGACACTCGTGATGCAGGCAGTTAAGCATTGGCTCTAAGTGCAAGGTCGGTGGTTCAAAATTACCAGAGTCACGATGAGTCTGAATTAACTTGATGGCAGTTGGCTGCGGGGTGGGGGGTGGGGAAGGGATGGAAATGAGGCAGGCAGCTTTTATAAAGATTTACTGCCTCAGAAACCATGCAAAGTCGTTCTACTTTGTACTACAAGGTCCATATAAGTCAGGGTGGATTCAATGGCAATGTCGTCATCCCCCCTCATTCATTCATTCATTCATTCATTTAATTGAGATCAGGTTAAGTCTCGTATTACAGCTCATAGTTTGTCCCTCCACCTCCAAGCAAACATAAGACTTTCTGATGTTTAAAGTAAGACGTGAGGATTTGACAACTATGCTTTTCTAATAGGACAAGACAAATTCACATTGTTGTAGAGTCTGGCTGCACAGTAGATAAAGCACTGGGATGCTAACAAAAAAGGTTGGTAGTCTGAATTTGTAGATGAATTTTTCACCATCCCACATGGGGAAAACGGGTGTAAAGCTTTGGAAACCCCATAAGGCTATGAGTTGGACCTTGAGAGAAGTGAGTTTGTGATTTTAAGAGCAGTTTCTAGTTGATTTTTGCAGTTTGGGTGTGGCTTTTTATGGTTAGTATTTGGTTTTGTGAATCAGGAAAACCTTAAAATTAAAGTAAGATGTCAGTTACTAATTTTTCCATTCAACAACAGATACATAATTACCAAATAATAGTAACAGACCCTAATACAACACAGAGACAGGATAAGTACCAAAAGGTTATATAAGATCCACTGAATTGGAAAAGTTTTAAAACAGGAAGGATTCTTAGAGATAATCTAGTTGTATGTAGGGGGTATATGGAAAGGAAGACAATAAGAACTCGATTAATGGTACAATGAAGGTAGTTAGAAGTGCAAGGAGCAATGAGTGAATCTTGTGACTCCTGAGCCAAAATAACTTGGGATTCACTAATAATCAAACATGGATGCCTAGGGGGATGTCCACAACCTAAGAGTCATAATTTCTCTAAAATTACTTTTATTGAGTCAAAGTATTTACATCAATAATTATTTTCCATGAATACAAATACATTCTATACTACATGATTATAACTGAACACTACCATATAACTTCAGGAAGCAGTCCAGGAGTGTCCATGCATATATTTTCAAGAGTCTGAGAACAGCCAACAGTCTAGCATACTTGTATTACTGATCAGAATGGTCAATGTTCTTTCCCATTCCATTTAAAGTCCTCTCTACTCAACAATGACCTAAAACTCACTCATTCCATAACCTTAAGCAGCTAAGATGTGAAGGTGTTGTGCTAGGCACTCTGATAGCTGCAGAATAAGCTAGAAAATGGGTGAAAAGGTAATTGAAAAACTAATTGGGTAATTAGCATTTCCTAAATCCCGTAATCTTCCCAGTCTGACATTGGAAACTGTTCAAAGCCATTTATTAAGAGAAAATTGCCTTTGTAAAAGTTTTTGAGGACCAATTCCATTCCCCTTAAAATGTATACATATTGAACTCTCAAGTATTGTGGACACACCCTGACTTTTACAAGTGATATTCAGTCTAGAAAATTAAATGCAAAACAAATCATTTTCTGAAGTTTCCATGTATTCTGGTTTCACAAGGAGAATTTTCTGCTTTTCTGCTTAAAAATACCAAATTTCTACTTCATCAAACAGAAGAGAACATTTAAGTACTAAAAACACTTCCGACTACTACTTTTGGAATCAACAACTTTCAATACATTCAAGATTATTCTTGGAAGCTTTTGGCTTTCTGTTTCTTTGCCATGACAGAAGTCAAGTCTCACCAAGGCTACACCAGAGTGTACTAACATTTACAAACAAAATATTAGCATGCATTGGGAAATGGATCCGGAGAACTAGCTTTGAAATACAGCACAGCCAAAGGATTTAGGGCTGACTTTAAATATATATTTTTTTAGAATTTTCCTTGTAGGTATGTATATTCACAGATTCATCATGCTACTTAGCTTAATTAAGTTTTCCCATACTTAGCAGGATGACTGACTTTTAGCAAATAAACAGCTATTTCCAAATAAAGGTCGATTTCTTGGAATTAATAAAATATCTATTTACAAAAACACTGGATACTAATTGAAGCATCCCCAGGCTTACAGGAGTCAGATGTATAGTTCTAGTGCCTCAGTGCATGGTTTGGGGAGCAGGGACAGCATTTAACTATGGCTTCAGGCAAGTTATTGAGCCACTTCAACCTTCTGATTTCCAAACTATAAAATGGGGATCATATAACAGCTCTGTTCCTTGGAGTGGCTGTGATTATTAAATCAGTTAATATCTGTAAAGCGCTTAAAACAGTGGCAAGCCCATGGTGTTTCAGGCTATATACCTTTAAAATAATGCAGACCTAAGTAAAACATGTTTTGTGTTCATTTTTCAACACGAAATTGTCAAGCCTTCATTACTGCAAAGGTAATATCAACATTAAGTTTCTGCGTGCCAAAGGATACCATCACTTAACCTCACCTACTGCTCAAGTACATCAAAAGCCCAAGAGGCCAACTACCATCAGCTTCTTTGAGATGAGTGTGATGGAATCTAGAGAATGGGAGTCCGGGAACGGGAAGGGAAGAACAGGGAACGTGTAAAGACTCTAGCAGCCACCCAAGGGCGAGGACAGGTCAGAGAGCTGATCCTTCCCCATCACAGACAGGGTGTGAGGGAGAGCGAGGATGTGTCAGACGCTGGAAGGGCAGGAGCCCAGGAGACTGAGGCCGGCCCAGGGGCGCGGCCCGCCCCTCCGCCTTCCCCTGCCCGACTCTCCCTCAGCCCAGCACTGCCAGCCTCCGAGGGCAGTGCAGTCCAAACCTACCTGCACCCAGCAGCCGCCACAGCGGCCGATCGCAGCTATGCCCAGCTGTGTGGAGGGCCAGCCAGCCACCACCACTCCCGCAGCTACCCCAGCCTTCGGCGCACTTCCGCCAAGCCCGGGGTGGACGGCGTCGCTACTTCCGCCCACACTAGCGCCCAACGCATCCGCGCTTCTGCCCACAGGATCGCGGATAGCATCGTTGCGCCGGGTAGTCGATCGCCGAGTCCTCGATGGGCGGACCGAGTGGGAACCGAAGGCCCCACGAAGGCGCTGAGAAAGGAAGAGACAGGTTAAAAGCGTTTCAGGTTCTGCCGTTTCGGGGAGAATTCAAGGGTACTGACAGAAAACTTGGAGTGATGAGCCAGCGAAGGGCAGCGTGCGGAAGGCGGTGGACTGAGGAAATGCCCACCGGCCCCAGCTTCCCGAGGAGCCAGGGCTAGGAAAGCCCCCAGGAGCCATTGCGGGACCGAGCAAGTGCACACACCCTGCGGTGTCCTGCAGACACAATCGGTAGTTTTGGCTGGGAGAAACAACTCCGGCTACCTAAGTGGATGGTTATTCTACAAGGGGTTCGTCAAAATGGAATTCTGAAGTTCATGGAATTTTCCCACAAACTTCTTGAAGCCTCCTTATGCTAATGAAGTCAGTGGAAAAGTGAATAAAGGAGATTAAAAAGTCTGAGTGAGACTGAGCAAGGCGAGGCAGAGTTCCCAGGACAGCTGATCTCTCACTGTCATCTGTCAATTTGAATCCGGGCAACCTTCTAGAACAGTAGGATTGCCCCTGTGGCATTCCAAGACTGTAAATCTTTAAGGGAAGAACGCCTTGTAATATTTGAACTGCAGATTTTGTGGTTAATCCATACATAATCAAGTACTTGTTGGTCACCTCAAAAAATATATAGTTGTTAGGCACATGACAGCTCTTTGTAGCTCCCATCAGTACCCACCTGGAAGCATCCACCTCCATGCTGGAGGAGTAGTGAAAAACCAAGATAATCTAATCAGCCAGCTACTATCCTGAGCCACTCCATTTTTTGCACCCTGGACTTATAAGTTGAGTATCCCTTGTGGAAGGGTGGAGTTATCTTTGAGTCCAACGGTATGTACTTCCTATCAACATAGTAGATCTATATAATGCATTTGCCCCTCAGGTACAGAGGCCAATGGTCAGGCTGTAATATACTACCATCCCTCAAAGAAACTAAACAGGTATTTGGTGGCACATTGATTTCATTAAACTGTACATGAGCATCCTTGATTCAGGTTTCTTCCCTGCCCACAAGGCCTTGGCAAGTATCACTATATAATTGCAAGTTGTTATTAGTGCCTTCGGGTCAGTTTTGGCTCATAGTGACCTATGTACAACAGAAGAAAACACTGCCCAGTTCTATCTCACCCTCAAAATCATCGACAAGTTTGAGGCCATTGTTGCAGCTACGGTGTCAGTCCACCTCATTGACGGTCTTCCTCTTTTTTGCTTACACTCTACCAAGCATGATATCCTTCTCCAGGGAATGGTCTCTCCTGAGAACATATCCAAAGTACATGAGCCTACCTGTTAGTACAGTATTCTGGCTGTACTTCTAAGACGGGTTTACCTGTTCTTGTTCTTCTGGTGCCCCATGGTAATTTCAATATTCTTCACTAAAACCATTTTTCAAAGATATCAATTCTTGTTTGTAGACCAAAAAACACATAGGCTGTCATCCTGTTTGGGTGAGATACTGTTTGGTCTCTCTAGAGTAGCTCTGTGCTACAGAATACTTATTCCTCACAGTCCAGTTTTCTCATGTGCAAGGCAATTGAAAATATAATGGTGTGAGTCAGGAACAGCTTAGTCTTCAAAGTGTCATCTGTGCTTTTTAACAATTTAAAAAGATGTTTTACAGCCACTTTCCCCAATGCAATGCATCATTTTACTGATTCATATTTCCTCCCATGTATATTAATCACAGATCCATGTAAAAAAATTCTTTGACACCTTCAATATGTTTACAGTTATCATGAAGTTGCTTATTGGTCTAGTTCTAAGAAGAAAAAAGTTATGTTGGGTAATCCTAAAGGCTGTAATCTTGGATAATCATCAGTAAGTGCTTCAAATCCTCTCTATTTTCATCAAACAAGTATGTCATCTGCATGTCACAGGTTGTTACTGAGTCTTCCTCATATCCAAATGCCGTAGTCTTCTTCACATAGTCCCGTTTCTTAGATTATTTGCTTAGAATACAGCTTGGGTAAATATGATTAAAGGATACAACTAAGATCACAGTTTTTCTGATTTCAAGTCACTGGGATCTCCTTGTTCTCTGGCTACCCCTTGGCTGATGTAGACATTCTGCAAGAGTACAGTGACGTGTTCTGGAATTCCCATCCTTCCTAATATCATCCATAATTTGCTATGATCCACACAGTGGAATGTCTTTGCATAATCAATAAAATATCGGTAAACATTTTGAGGCACTTTCTTCTTTCAGGCAAGATCCACATTGCATCAGCAATGATATCCATCGTGCTACTTTCTCTTTTGAATCCAGAATGAAGTTCTGCCAGTTCCTTGTAAAAGTACTACTGTAACTGTTTTAAAAATTATATCCATCAAATGTTTACTTGTGTGTCATTTTAATGTTATTGTTGAGGATTTCCATATTCTGTGTGTCACCTTTCTTTTGAATCGATGCTCATAGGCATCTCTTCTTGTTGGTTGGCCAGATAGCTGTCTCCCAAATTTCTTGATACAGATGACTGAGCGCCTCTGGCACTACCTCCTTGTGTTAAAACATTGCCATTGGTGTTCTGTGAATTCACGGAGACTTGATTTTCACCAGTGGCTTTAGTACATATTCGACTTTTTACCTTGATATTATCAGTTACTGATGATCTTTTACCTTTTGAAATGGTTAGCTGTAGACCAATTCTCTTTTGTACAGTGACTCTGCATATTTATTCCATCGTCTTTTGATGCTTTCTATATTGTACACTTTTGCCCTTAGAATCCTTTTAATATTGCAATTTAAGAATTGCTCCCCCCACTTTCAGTTATTTCAGATTGGGAGATGCCAAACATGTTTTCTAAATCCAGGTCTTTGTACATTTCTTCTTCTTCTTTAATCATTTTATCGGGGGCTTGTACAACTCTTATCACAATCCATACATACATCATTGTGTCAAGCACATTTGTATATCTGTTGCCATCATCATTCTCAAAACATTTGCTTTCTACTTGAGCCCTTGGTATCAGCTTCTCATTTTCCCCCTCCCTCCCTGCTCCCCCCTCCCTCATGAACCCTTGATAATTTATAAATTATTATTCTTTTGTCATATCTTACACTGTCCAATGTCTCCTTCACCCACTTTTCTGTTGTCTGTCCTCCAGGGAGGAGGTTATATGTAGATCCTTGTAATCAGTTTCCCCTTTCTACCCCACCTTTCCACCACCCTCCTGGTATCGCCACTCTCACTGCTGGTCCGAAAGGGATCATCTGTCCTGGATTCCCTGTGTTTCCAGTTCCTATCTATACCAGTGTACATCCTCTGGTCTAGCCAAATTTGTAAGGCAGCATTGGATCACGATAGTGGGGGTGGGCAGGAAGCATTTAAGAACTAGAGGAAAGTTTCATCATTGTTTCATCATTGCTACACTGTACACTGACTGGCTCATCTCCTCCATGCCATTGTTCTGTAAGGGGATGTCCAGTTGCCTACAGATGAGCTTTGGGTCCCAAATCTACACTCGCCCTCATTCACAATGATATGATTTTTTTGTTCTTTCATGCCTAGTATCTGATCCTCTCAAACCCTCGTGGTCACACAGGCTGGTCATGGGGCTTTGTTGCTTCTGAGTTAGATGACCCCTTGTTTACCTTTAAGCCTTTAAGACCCCAGATGCTATATCTTTTGATAGCCGAAACCCAAATGAAAGCTGAGCATGTTAGTGGGACAAGAGGAAAATAAAAGGAAATAGAGGAAAAGACTAGGAGGCAAAGGGCACATTTCCCACAATGTCACCTTAGATTAGGATACCCTTAAGAATGAAAGAGGTCTTACGAAGGGAATAAGACCACACGATCCACTGGTTTCTATTACCCTATCTGTACACCACACATCCAGATGCTGCTGTCCTGATCGAATGTTACAGTGATCTCTTAAAGGCGCAGCTAAGATTCTAGCTATGGATAACACTTCACAGGTGGGGTGCTGGGCTTTAAAGTGCTGTATATGTAATTAGGATTAAATTCCATTATTAATACCTTTACATTACCATTAATACCACTGTGCCCCGGATAGCTGGAAATTTAGCTCCTGGGACAGGGCAAAGAATTCACTACCAAGAAACAAAAGCATACAATAAATCTAAAGATACTTGTAGCTCTCACGGTTACAGATTTCGTATAATACAACAAACTGATCCTTGTCAGAAGAAATAGGGGCCGTGAGGATAATTTCTGAAATTCTGAGGATTTGTTGGGCATCTTTTCATTGAGATCAATAATGAGCCACACAGCAGCTCTGACCTGACAATGGAATGTTAACTAGGGAACTAGACCCCACAGGAATGAAAGTCTGGATTACCTCCTCAAGCAAGAAACCTGGCCCAGGCTGTAGTACTAGCTGAACATGAGGGAGATCTAAAACAAGGCTGACACTCGTTGAGAACTTCAAGAAGAACCGCAGCAAAGAAGACTAGCTGGACCGCCTTACCCTCCTATTCTGACTGAGTCTTTTTCTTTCCTACAAAATGTGAGACTGGATGCCCTCCTAAGCAGACCATGACAGGAAAGTGGAGAGGGAGGAGGGACAATAGCAGAGGCTGCCGGTGCCCCATCCATTTCCTCTCAACATTCACGTTTACTCTATAAAGGCTACTTTCTGGGAACACCTGTATCCCTGGGCCTCAGGACAAGCTGAAATACTGAACAGTTAATTCGCCCAGAACAGGCTTCAGTTAACGGACAGGCAAGGAGTTGGTGCATAAATATCATGGCCCCTCATATCAGGGTTGGAACAACTCTAAGATAAGTTCTCCATTGCATAACAGTGCACCCCCATGAAAATAAGTTTTAATTGCACATTGTAACATGAGGTA